AAATTAGGATTGGGAGTTGTGCAGCCGTAATTGTTGACTTTTGGTGAATAGTATTAACTTTTTAACTTTTTGAGTAACTTTTTGACTTTTTGATTTTTTTGGATCTTCCCAAACTTGGCCTTAGTATGAGTAGCTCCATGTTCAAATAGATTATTTCCTCTCAATTTTTTACAACCACCAGAAGCAATTAACAATCTGAACAATATACAAATTTCAACTCAAAGTTGCCAACAAGAAGCAACAAGCATATATGAAACACAATCTGATTAATATATAAATTTCTACAACAATAAACATAAAAATTAAGAAAAAGAAAAATCATAAAATGAATTTGTGAAATGGACCCAAATGGAGCAAGTTCATCGGATTATGTGATCTGTGAACATACTTGGAGTTCTTCATCTTCATCATCATATTGTTAACATGATCACAATTCAAGATCTGAAGAGTTCTTTACCTTCCCTCATCGATCCTGTACCAGATTCAAAACCCATCTTCCTTCTAAAACCTAGATTCGTAATCCGAAGGTTTGTTTGTACGTGTGTGTGAGAGAGAGAGAGAGAGAGAGATGGGTTTGGGCGAACGAGAGGGCAAATCGACTGCGATCGAAAGGGCTGAGATCGAGAAACAGAAAAAGATCCAAAATGATTTAGGAGAGAGAGAGAGAGGGAAAATTATTCAATACTCCCGGAGCACCACGTGTCCATACTCCAAACCAATCGGCAATTAGTTAGCCCCATGTTGTCCCCCCATGTCCAACATAAATCGTGGGCCCTTGTGTCTCTCCACCAATCAAAACCTTATGGAGCACCACGTGTCCATACTCCGGGAGTACTGAATAATCACCCGAGAGAGAGGGGTAGTCAAAACACATAGAGGAATGGGCGGGTACCAATTCCATTTAAATTATACCACCTACCGACCCGACGAGTAGAAAAATGAAAAAAATCTTAACGTTGTGTTTGGTTGGAGGATTTGAAGAGGGATTTGGAAAGGGAAAAGAAAAAGTTTGGTAAAATGTAAATAAAATATACCTACATTTCACATAGTTTCACACACCTTTTCCTTTTCCCTTTCCAAATTCCTCCCCAAATCCCTCAACCAAACACAGCATAAGTATTTTGGGTTGGGTTTTGATAGATACTCGGGTCTGGTTTGGGGACTGATTATTTTAGTCAAAAAGTCAAAAAGTCAATTAAAACTAGTCACATCACCTTTCTATTTTTCTGCACATCTTTTCGTAAAAAGTCAAAAAGTTACTAAAATAGTCTGTTCCCAAACGAGGCCTCACTGGATAGGATATCTATTACCATTCTTAGAGAAGGATCGTAGCCTCTGTTTGGGAAGTGGGTTGATTTTTTAATTTTTTTGACTTTTTTTGCTATTTTAGTTTGAGCTAAAAAGTTTGGTTTGAGAATGACTTTTTGACTTTTTTTGTGAGAGAAGAATGTAATGATTATGGATTGGATGTGATGTTTTGTTTGTTATGACTAAAATAACTTCTTTTATCTTTTATGACTAAAATAGCAAAAAAAAAACTCTTGCCAAACGGAGCAAATGGGTGAGTGCGGTTAGAGAGGAGATCACCGTGGGAAGGGTGTGTTGATAAAAAGTTTAGGACTGCCAACTGTAATTAACAGCAAAAGAAACTTGTTATTGATGAAACATGAGCTTTCAAAAGGGTGTGTTGATAAAAAGTTTAGGACTGCCAAGTGTAATTAACAGCAAAAGAAACTTGTTATTGATGAAACATGAGCTTTCAAAAATAGTAACAATACATCAATGAAAAAGGGGCGAGTGTAAAGAGTATGATAACAGAATATAATCATCTCAATTAGGTTGGTACTCAAATGAATGCATAATCATGTGCATGCACCAGGCCAAGTTGGGTGAGAAACCAAACAAAAACCCAATTAGGTTGGTACTCAAATGAATGCATAATCATGTGCATGCAGCAGGCCAAGTTTGGTGAGAAACCAAACAAAAACCCAAGGAGCAAAGGAAAAAGAATACACAGACTAAAAGCCAACACAAAGAAACACCCAAAAGCTCAATCAACTCCATCCTGAAGAAAGATGTCATTGTAAGTAACTCAAACCCTCCTAAAGATGGTTGCATAAACTACTTCAAACACTGCCAACTAAAACAGCACACACCACAAATTTTACAAGAAGCTGAATATAATGCTCAACACTTTTATATTATAATACGTATGACGTATACCTAGTATGCCACAATTCGAACACCCAAGTTTTTCTGTGCAAATTCAACAAGGTTGTTGGTCTCACTGTCCTCAATGAACCCATTGCCATTTGCATCAGCAGACCTCACCCCAATCCTGCTCTTTCGCCCGGCAAACCAGCCTCCGGCGACATGGATTGCCTCTCGAAGCTCATGCTCGCTCATTCGACCATCTTTGTTGGCATCGAATTTCTTCAACCACTGTTTGAATTCCTCGATCGTCATTTCGCGTTTGCCATCACTCGAAACGGCACGGGTGGCGTAATTTGTGAATGCCATGGTAGTGACTAGTGTTAAATTTCTTGAAACAACTTAGCTAAGGGTTTGTCATCTATCTATGTATGAAGGGTTGCCAATTTTATAGTAGTGTGTTGTTGGTCTTTGTTTTGGAAAAACAATTAATGAGCGTGGCTTAATTAGTGGTTTGTTTGGAATAAGAATCAAATTAAAGTGGTTAAAACATGTGATTACAAATTATTAAAATTTAATCTTCTCCACGCTACATATATTATTCAAAAAAGATATTAGAAAATGTAGGAAAATCTCTTTATCGTTCTTTTTCCTTTTACCCCCACTTGTTTATAAAAGATGCTTCACCTAGATGCAAAGTGGCCAACTTGCAATTTTTTTTTTTTTGTTTTTTTGGGATTTTTTTTCATAGTCTCACAATTTTTTTAGCCCATTAACTAAATATCATGTGTCAATGATCAAAGTATCCTTATCTTTTTAGAAGACACGTTAAGTTTTTTTTTTCTCACTTAAATTATAGGGAAAATTATTGGAAATTCTCATTTTGGAGAGTTGTAGTCTACCAAGTCCTTTTTTAAAATTAATACACGTATAATTTTTTTGGTAATGTGATTCGAAAGATCCCATTATGTAATTATGGAATGGTTTTTCTGACTAATGTACCCTTTTGTGTGTGGTTGGAAACGGTTTTCGGAAGGGTGTTTGAATTATTTTGATTACACTGTTTTCGACGTTCACTATGGGAAGATCAAGTGTGGCCAGATTTTTAGGGATGACAAGGGTCATTAGTATTTGAATGTTGCGTGCGATGGGGGAGAGGTTATGGGGTGTGAGTTGTGTGGTGGTGTACTCAGTCGTCTGCTTCCACGTTGTTCACCGTCGGGTTGGGTTCTTCGATTGCAGCCACGGTAATGTTGTTGGGTGTTTCTTATGTGTGTTAATGGCAGTATTCTCGGGGGTGTAAACGTTGTTGCTGCT